TAAATAAAAAATTAGCATCACACTTGCACCCTCAGTGTAGTTCATTACTTAAAAGCGATAGAACTTGTTATTCAATGGAGATAGCCTCATGCTGCAAAGACAGGCTGGTTAAAATTTAACCAAAACCAAAACGAAATGCAGCTAATAGTGAGTATTTATGGTCATAGCATGATGACAACGGACAAATCCATCATCGCGAACCATTAATCAAAGAGAGGGGCTGTGCACAGATGTAAAACAGATATATGAAGTTATTAAGAAGCATGCATAATCACTACTGCCCAAAAGGAAATGGGATTTTACAAGATAATTAGAAGGAAGCAATTACCAAGGCTGTCTTCATGAGATATATTGCTCTCTTCCCAAGGAAACTGACAGTTTTCTGCCACCTTTACTGCAAAGAAGATGAAAGTAGCATATCAATAATCAGTGGAGAATTATCTGCTATCTAAGCACTCTATCATACCCATTTTCACTGCAACTTGAGTCAAGACATTACATTACCAATCATTCATACTATTGGAATATGGGTTCATTATGAACTAAAACAGGTTCATCCAAGAAAAGAGTTAAGCTCTGCTCATGTCTCCTTTTTACCTCTCTAGGCCATGCAAACCACGTATGGTGCTTAGCAGAGAATAAAAGAGATCAACATTGTGTATCTACAAAGTAAAAATATTTTAACACCTAACCCAACCCAAAAGCCTACCTGTTTGCAGTGATGGCAATATAACCATTGGTGAACAGGGGCTTATTTTGACACCTGCAGCCTGTAACTGGCATGGAACAGACCATGGTGCTGTGCTTTGATCAGCTGCAGTCTCCTGAGATAGTGAGAGTGGACTTGCAGCAAACTGCAAGATTGCTTGCGCCTGCATAACCATTGTAAATCAAAATTATAACACATGTTTACAATGAGATACCCTTATGATGTCTGAACTCTAAAGAAGAGAGGAAGGTGTATTACCTTACAACCAGGCATATCATCATAGACATTCACCTCCCCACAGTAAAAAATTGTCATCTGTCCTGCTTGCTCTTTAGCAGCTCCTGCAGTTCTGAACGGTTGAGATTTCTTCAGTTTTAGAACTTCCATTATTAATATACAACTAAGGAAAAACTAGTAATATCTTAGACATGCTCAAGATCAGTCTAGATCAAGGCTCAAGATTTTCACTCAAAAAGAAGTTGATCTAAATCGTTCATAAGTTGGTCACACCAATGGATATATTTAAAATATATATATTTAAAAAAAAACCACCAATAATCTCAAATTTTTAACCAAACTAATAAGATACAAGTTTTAATAAGAAAAATCAAATATGAAAAAAGGCTGGAGATCAAAGTAAAGTTGTGGAGTTCAACCAGTAAAGCATGAAGTGTAATCTCAAAAATCCTTCACTACAAAAGGTGACAAAGAAAACACTCATAGCCACCACCATTTCCATATAATTATAAATCCACACTCATTTAAATAACCAATTGGTATCTTAACACCTGGAAGGTGGTAAAGACATTTTAAAGACTTTTTATAAAGATAAATAAATGATCATAAAATCAGCACTATTAATGAATTATTAACTGCACACCTATGAGGTAAAGCTTCAATTAGTTATGTAGTCTTACATGCCAAACTTGTGAAAACTAAGAACAGGTATTCAGTAAAAAACAATACCTTTTAATTGCCCTCACATATCGTCATAAACCTCTGACCAGTGGCCATACAAGTTATAAACAGAGGATCTAAGACAGGCCAGAACTTTAACTACAGAACTACATGATTTTAACTACTTCATTTGCGAATCTTTGATAAAGAAATATTTAGTTCCTCTATGGTTCGTATTGATCACAGAAAAGCATCAAAAACAAACCCAGATTTGACAAGCATAAAAAGCAAATGTCCAATCTAAGTGCTGTACTATAGTGTATAACATGCATTAGGTCATAAGATTTAACCGTAGCCTTCTTTCTTACTTTACATTTCAGTTAATCAAATTGTTAAGCAAACATCCTTTACAAAAGCCCTATTTTCTTGTGTTAGTTCAAAATTTCCATCACCTACTTTTTCCATCATTAGCTCTTGATTTATCTAGAGGAGCTAAATCTGGTTCTCTCATCAAGATGTAGGACCATAAATTTGGAAGCAATCCAATGCAAGCTAGCCTGAGGCCGAAACGAGACATAATAAAAACTGAGAAACTTTAACCCCAACCTAGTGCTCTTACTCCCCTATGAGATGCTAGTCAAGTGCTCTAAGCAG